CATGTCCCTGTGATAAGGTCAATGCTACAGCCCACGCAGCAGGTTTTGCCTAGGGCAGGGCACTATAGGCTGGATACATACATTGTATTGAGAGCATCATATCATAACCCAGCAGAGTGCGTCCATAGAAAGGGGCTTCATTCCATCATTGTACAAGCCATCCATGACCATTGGTACCACAATTTTAGAAGTCTGTCCCAGCGGCCCTGAGAACTGTCGTGATGCCTATGTCCTTGAGAATTCTCACTTTGCCTTTCCATTTCTGGATGCCTTATAAGGATGTTCCTTAGAGATAAAGGCTACCCTCTGAAACCATGGCTGATGACTCTATTATGAAACTCCTTCACTGAGACTGAGCATTGAAATATCCTTCCACTGGGACATCATGGATTTGAAGGGCCTGCTAAAGATGAAGTTTGATTCTTAGGTCAGTATCAGGTGAAGGGGGTGTGGGGGGAGCGGTGTGTTGAAGGAGGAAGATGAGGACAATGAACTGGAGGAATGATCACTGCAGCATCCAGCAAAACAAGCCACACTGGAATTAATCACCTCTCATCTCCAATAGAAATTGCTCTAGATGCAATGATCACTCATTGACTCTAAATTTGTTGATGCTCAAAAGGCAAGCGGTCCCTGTCTGCTCCCAGAGACAAATACACCTTTGCTTTATTTGATATTCTTTGCTTTAGCCGCTGTCATATCAAAGTGAATTTTCAACCATTTGAAGGCTTTCCGTCATGTGAAGGTCACACATTGATCAATGAGAAGACGTTGGGCTACACTGGGAATTGAAGAAAAAGTAGCACTCCCTTAGACAGAATTCTGAAATAGGATGCCACTAAGGATGGGTAAACTGTGCAGCTCGGACCCTAACATGTCATACATTTACAAATATGCACTTGGTATTTGCAATTAAGTGTTAGCCATGACACCTATATGCTCTGACCAGTATTTCTTTTTGATTATGTGCACAGTAAGGGCAGTTCCTGGTCTTTAAATATGGTGCTGGCACTGGGAATCCTGGGTGATCCTGGCATGAGCGAGTTCTTCTGCCTTTGACGAGAGCGAAGATAGGACTGGCAAGACATCACTGAGGCATGGTGCATTGGTAATGTGGAGATTTTTGGGTCACGCAAGAGAAAACCAGATAGGGCTCACAGAGAGAAATCTTCCAAGAAACTCAGCAAAAATGATACAGCCGATTGCTGGTAAAATTCAGTGCAATGATTTAAAACTACTTCATTGATTGTAGAGCACTGGGTCATCCTGACATCCAGAAATATACACTTTAAATGAAAATTTTTCTTTCTTATACATGAAGGCAAGCACAAGACCCACATCTCGGCATATGGGAATACAGATTAAGACCTTAAGCGATTGAACAAAATTTCTACAACGTTTTGATTGCTGCAAAATCAAGAAATCAAATCCAGATCAAAGGTTCAGCTAAATTTTTAAAACTTGGTCAAAACGTTAGGTTTTATTCACATTAATCTACCTGAAAAAAAGTTCATATTCCTACATTCCTACATTGGATAATGCTTTCAACAGGACATTGTACAAATAGATTTCAAAACAAATTCAACTTTCATCTCATAATTGATCATAAAATGTAAAAGGATCATAAGTGAAACTCCTTTAAACCGTGTTTGGTATTTGAAATATTACAAAGCTAATCTTAGTCAGATCTGAGTGAAAAATGTTCTCAGAGTAATTGAATTCTAGGCCACTGTAGAAAGATTGGCAATGAAATCAGAATAATGACTGAGAAGATTGTCTAATTTCTTAAATCTTAACCTATGTAAAACAGCTCAAATTGCATTTATTTAAACTTTTACAAGCTGAAACGAGATTGAAGCTCTCCAGACTTGTATGGTCAGATAAGTTGTGAATTGATTTCCTTCCTGCCATGCTTGGTGTTACAGTATAGCTGCTTTAGGGTGTGAAGTAAATGCGGACAATAATTATGTGGGTTTTTGTTTGTTTAAGGTCTACATTCAAACCTTGCTTTGAGACAAAAGTTGTGCAAATCTCATTTGGAAATCAATAACTGTAACTTGTCCTAAACAATGGCCTTTCATCAGACTTACAACTTTGTTTTCATCTCCACAGATACTGCCAAAGCGATTGAACATTTTCAGCACTTTCTTCAGATTCCCAATATCCAAATTGTTTTTTAATGTTAGAGTGTGGGTTTCTTCAATTTTAGAGAAATTGCAAACAAATTTTAATCATTGAGAGGAGAATACTTCTTTAAAAAGCCAGCAGGCATTTCTTATAGCAGTGTGAAATAGGGTATTTCAAAATATTATTATGGAAATTACTGATTGGAAGTATAGAATCCCTACAGTGTGGAAAGAAGCATGTGACCCATCAAATCAGCACTAACACTCTGAAGAGCATCCCATCCAGACCCAGCACCCCCACCCTACCCCATAATCCCACATTTACCATGGCTAATCCATTTAACCCTCACTTCCCTGAACACTACGGGCAATTTAGCACGGCCAATCCACCTAACCTGCAGATCTTTGGACCGTGGGAGGAAATCAGAGCACCCAGTAAAAACCCATACAAACACATGGAGAATGTGCAAACTCCACACAGTCACTCAAGGCTGGAATTGAACCCAGGATCCTGGCACTGTGAGGCATCAGTACTAACCACTGAGTTATCATGCCACCATTACTTGCATTCATTGTCCCTTTCCACACAAATGGCCATTATGCAATTTAAAAGATATTATTTGCATATGTAAATGTGCATACATTTAGAGAAGGGATTAATGCAGAAACCTAGGTTGATTATAATTGTTAATAAATTATTAATTATATAATGACAAGTATTACTTTTTAAAATTCTCTTTAAGCTAGTTTAGAAAATGATACATTAGCCCATTTATCAATGAAAAATTGCAAAGTCATGGTAAATATTGTATGCAGTGATTCCTACTTGCAATAACTTGCCATTATTAGTGTTTTTATGTTGTAAAAGTTTATAAATTCATTTGCACAAGAGTCCAATATGCTTATGGACCATTCAAAACTTTTTTAACTTGACGAAACACAGCAAGTGTGCTTACCACATGCCACTCAAGACGTAAATCTGAAAATTCAAATTTCAAAAGGTTGCCCTAAATCAACCTTGATTCAGTGGTCACACTCGTTCTTGAGCTAGTAGTTTGTGGTTTCAAACCCTGTTCCAAGGGCTCAAGCAGCCAACAGAGATTTTATGTAAACCTGGACTGGGATCAGGACTAAATGTTTCTGGCTACAATGTATATTCATGAGGAGTAGGAAACCGGCAGACAAGGAAGGAGGTGAGGCAGTATTGATGAAGGATGATGTTATTGTTCTCCAAACTTACATATGCAAATAAAAATGGTTTGAATAATGCATTGGCCACCTGTCCAGGAACGTATAGTAAACGTAAGTAACATCAGCGCTCTCTCCTAAACGATAATTTTCATAATAATATTTTGAAGTTCTCTATTTCACAATACCATAAAATATACTCACTGTCCTACCAAAGCATATAACTAAAGGGTTCAAAGACTGAATCTATTCGTTTAGAGTTGAGGAACTGGAAACGTATGTATCGGACACGACTTTATAAAGGGGGACAGTGAATACAAAGAGAAGATAAGCCAAGTTTAACATTTACAAAAGATTGGTCAGGCCTCAGCTCAGGTGTTGTGTAGAATCCTGGCTACCACATGTTAAGAAAGATATTGAAGCATTGGAGCACATATTGGGAAAGTTTAAACAGGATAACACATGACATGATGAACTTTGGTTATCAAGACAGACGGAAAAAGGTGGGATTGTCCTCATTAAAGGGAAATTAAAATATCAAGAAAAAGTTTTTAAAATTAGGAGGGGTTTTAATCAAGCACATCAGGGGTAATGTTTTTCTCTGACAAGTGAGTTGATAACCTGAGGTCATAGATTTAATATAATTGACAAAAGAGCTACAAAGGATATGAGGAGATCTTTTTCATACAGGAGATGAGATATGGAATGCATACCCAAAAGGGTGGTGAAAGTAGGTTCCATTGGAACTCACCAGAGGTAGTTTTTTGAAGCAAGGTAGGCCTACAGCATAAAAGCAAGGCCTTAAGTGCTCCCAGCACAGTGTGCAAGCTGCAGAGAGTGAAACTCTAGGTCTTGAGCCAAGTGTGGGAATTTAAGGGTATAAATCTTAATCTTTTGCCTTCTTAAAATCTATCAAACTGCTTTATGACTCAATGGCTCTATGTACTTAAAGATGACTAATTTGCAGGGTGATGGCTAAAAAGCTGATGTGTGAGATTATAATGGACAGCTGTTAAAGTGTTGACAAAAGCATGATGGGCTGAATGAACTCCTTTTATGGTTATATGACTCTATATTAGAAATATTTTGGAAAAACTACCTCAGGGTAAATTTTCATGAATGACTTCATGCTTGCCACACTGTCAACTTCAAAAAAGGATGTAGGAACATTTCAGGATGTTACACAATACTTTGCTGTACATCTAAGTCTCATCAGCAAGTTTCAACACGAAACAAAAATGAAATCATTTCTGCGCTTTAAATCCAGAATCTGATATATTGGAGCAAGGATCGAATCCAATGGGCAGATTTCTTTGATAAACAGTGTTCTTCCATCCCACCCTTATCATTTATTATCTAAGATCTAAATTGCCCTAATCTGATCTCTGCTGGGGCACAAAGTGCATGTTTATGATTTTGAGAAGTTCAATAGCATGATGAATTCATGATTCTTAGCAATTTGAGAAACTGATTTCTGAGTTTTCAAAGATACCAGTTTCACAGGGTATGATATTCTAATCGAGAAGGACTAAATGCTAATCACTGGCAACGATCCTCACCATCACATTCAACACTCTCACCTAAACTGTTACAGATCCACATTGAAATAACACAAGCAATAAAGCAGAATTTCAAAATTATGAATAAACAATACAAAAGAAATTAATTTGAAACAAAATGACTCACCCTTCCAATTAGACAAAACAGTTCTATCCAATCCATGTAGACATCTCTCCAGGGCATGATGGATGCGATCCTCTGTGCAGGAGGTATGCTGCATTTTATATCATCACCTTAAAATAGAAGGAAAATTTATACATTTCATTACAGTCTTATTGGTTCAATTAAGCCAAGATGCCCTCTCAAGTCTGGAAAAATGATAGAGATCATTGACAGCCATTCTTGGAAATACTTACAACACAAAAGCTTCAACTTTTAAAGCTCATTTCTCACTTCATTAGACTCAGTTTTTCAAAGTCTTTCTTGTCTAAAAAGGGTTTTCTTGAAATTTCCTCAATTTCATAATCTCAAATAGTGCTCCTAAAGTCAGGAAGTGAAGTCTTGCACAGCCAATGCGCATATGATGTCATGGTGCTGGGCACACAATGTCCAAATAAAAGGTTACATGGGTGAACCTGCTATTTGCCTCACTAGAGTTAATTTCTTCATTTGTGAATGGATAAGTTAGATAGAACAAGCAGACACAGTTCTTAGGAAGGGTTGCTCAACCCTTAACTTTAACACTGATTTCTCTGCACAGATGCTGCAAGACCTGCTCAGCTTTTCCTGTAACTTCTGTTTTGGTTTCTGATTTACACCAACTGCGCTTCCTTCGGTTTTTAAAAACAGAAAGTGCTGGAGCAAGATAGGTGGAGACATTGGCTTATGGTAATATCTCTGGTCTAGTAATGCACTGGGGAAGTGGGTTCATCATCCCACCATGGTGGATTGTAAAATATGAATTTAATAATAATCTGGGAGTGAGAAAAGCTAGCCTAAAGGCAAATTTGCAGTCATCATAAATTTTTAAAGAAAAACTATTTTATTCACTTGGGAAAGAAATCTGCCATCCTCACCTGGTCTGGCCTACGGACTCTCAGCAATGTGGCTGATTCTTTATTGGCCTCTGAAATAGGACTTGCAAGCCATTCAGACCAGGAGCGATTAGGGCTGGACAATAACTGGTGGCCTTGCCAACAACATCCACATCCCATACAAGACTAAACAAAAATCTATGGCGACTACACCGAGAGAAAAACAGAATGAACATTGAGTCCAGCATGATTTCTCTTCTCTCTCAGGAAGAGCTATCGGGTTTCTCCAACATCTTCTATTTTTATTTCAGATCTTCTGGATCTGCTGTATTTTACTTTTGTTTCATTATACAAAAGGGGAGACAACAGCACTATACTGGCATTCCAGAGACCCAGGTAATTTTTAAAAATTAATTCATTTACATGATGCAGGTGTCACTGGCCAGGCCATTTATTGTCCGTTCCTAATTTCTCAGAGGCCAGTTAGACTCAACCACATTGATATGAGTCTGAAGTCACATGTAGGCCAGGCCAGGTAAGGATAGCAATTTCTTTCCCTAAAGGGTATTAGTGAACCAGATGGGTTTTTCCAACAATCAGCAATGGATTCATGGTCATCATTAGACTCTTATTTCCAGATATTTTTAAAAAATAGAATTCAAATACCACCATCTGTTGTGGCAGGATTTGAACATGGATCCCCAGAGCATTACCTGGGTCCCTTGATTAACCCAGGGATAATACCACTAGACCATTGCTTCTCAGGAAATGTTCTGTGGTCCCAGGTCTAAATCCCACCATGGGAGATGGTGGAATCTGAATTCAGTGGAGCTCTGGAATTAAGAATCTAATGATGACGATGAAACTGTTGCTGATTGTCAGCAAAAACTCATGTGATTCTCTCGTGGCCCTTTAGGGAAGGAAATTATTGCCCTCACCTGGTCTGGTCAACATGTGACGCAAGACTCACAGCAATGTGGTTGGCTCTCAACTATCCTGTGGGTAATAAATGTTGGCCTAGCCAGTGACACCCACATCATGGGAATGAATTTTTTTAAAAATTGGTAATTGTGCCACCTTTGTGAAAGTACACACATAATTTTTGGTGAGTTTTACTCACTTGAATCATACAATAATGCCATTCAATCTGAGTGGGCAGATTGCTTGTATTGGCACTGGCTGAGAAATTTAGAACCAAGATTACTCTTCCTTTTCAGTTATACAGAGGCTCATGGCGCATGTGTGACATATAACAGGAGAAGATGAATAGAAGCGCCAGTAGCCATTCAAATAATTAATTATTTTGCAATAAATGATTGCATCACTATTTATACACCTTTTTCAACTTCCTTTCAACCGTGGACAATAGCAACAATAGAGAAAAATCACCCAATACTATGTGTGTTACATATCTGAACTTGACCAAAATAAACGCTACTGTAAAATTATGTTAAACATCATTGTGCAAGTTTATCCTCAATAGTCAGAAGGACAAGTGTAATCTATGCTTGCAATTATCAAATATTAAATTTGACACAAGTTCCAGTGATTGTGTATATAGTGCCAAGCAATCAAAACAAGATGTTCAATAAAAACCGAAAGAACTGTGAATGCTGTAAATCAGGAACAAAAACGGATGTTGCTGGAAAAGCTTAGCAGATCCGGCAGCATCTATGAAGAACACATTAGAATTAACGCTTTGGGTCCGGTGATTGGATTCTGAGGTTCTCAGGTTCTGAGGAAGGGACCTGAAACATTAACTCTGATTTTTTCTTCGCAGATGCTGCCAGACCTGCTGAGCTTTTCCAGCAACTTCTGTTTTTGTTCCCAAAACAAGATGTTACTGTCCAAATTGCCTTGCTCCCCCAGAATCTTCAGTACACCAGTATTTTGCCCAGTGGTTCACCATTCAAACACATGAAGAGTGTGGAGTTGTTGTAGTTTCGGTGGTTTATTGATAACGTGGGTCTCTTTTAGAAAATACTGTGGGAAAAATTTAGTGTTTTGGAAAAATACATAAATAAATAACTTTAAATAATTATATTAGCAATTGTGAAGAAGATAAATTCCCCTACGTTTTTCATAGAATTTTTGTGGTTTCTTTACAAGGTGACAAAATAGGAGACTGTTTCTTTTGTTTTGATAGACATTGAATTTTTATTTTGTTTATACTGAAGGACTTTTAACTATCTCAGTCTTGTGACATAATTAACAAGATGGGCACCACTGGGCCCAGTGACTCCACTGCCAATAGAGAAGGACCCTCCTGGGTGGCAAGTCCATTTTTTTTTTATCACATTCTTGTCTCTCTTTTTCAGGACCACCTGCTGATCTGGAGATGGTAGTGGTAATACAAAACCATGACCAAGTAGGATAGAAAAGGACAGACGTTTTTCCATATTTGATCTTAAGGTGAGCATCACACAGAAATTAACAATCAGGACAATGCAAATCATTGATTTCATTTCCACAAATTTAGATCTGCAATCAAAGAATTTATCAACTAAAGAATTTCTAACCAGATTTCACTAAACTTAGCCCATAATGAAGAAATGCACCACAATATAGTTGTAAATTATAGAATTGAAATTCTTGAAATATTCTGCATTTAACGTAGTTGTACGGTTGGATGTGAAAGACATTTCATCATTATATAAGCAACTGCAAACCCAAGCAGCATGTGCAATTCCCACAAGACTTTGTGTAGCTTCTATTATATCACATTTCCTCAATAAGACCAGGTACTCTCATAATCAGGATGACCCCTTTTAAAAATCAAACTTTTGCAAAAAATGTTGATAAATGTTAGAAATTTATGATTTGGTCTATCCAATCAGATAATTTTAACAACACCATTTAAACACAATAATGTTGATGACTTGGTTCGGAACATTGGTCAAGAAGGATTGCTGATTTATTGACCTGATGTGGAGGTGCCAGTGCTGGACTGGGTTGGAAAAGGTCAAAAATCACATGACACCAGGTTATAGTACAGCAAGTTTATTTGAAAACACAGGCTTTCGGAACATTGGTCTTCATCAGGTGACCTGGTATCAAATGACTTTTGACCTTGACTTATTGATCCCACAGTGCTTATACTGTATCTTCACTGATGACAATTTAGCTTCCTTTCAAAGTAAAGCCTTAATGTCCTTGGGGAGATAGTATTGTTATGGTAATATCACTGGACTACTAATCCAGAGATCCAGGCTAATGCTCTGAGGACTTGGGTTCAAATCACACCGTAGTAGGTGATTTGGAATTGAAAGGTAGCTTCAGTAATGGAGCCATGATCATTGGTTGTCATAAATCCGTGTCCTTTGGGGAAGGAAATCTGCCATCTTACATGTGACTCCATAACCACAACAATGGAATTGACTCTTAACTTGAAATGGTCTAGCAAACCATTCAGTTTCAGGAGCAATTGGGATGGTCAACAAATGTTGACTTTACCAGTGACAACCAGGTCCCATGAAAGAATAAAGAAAAAATGGCAACATTTTTAGACTTAAAAGTTTAAAATGAAAAAAATGGACAGTGCAAAATTAAAGGAGGTGATTGTCAATAAAAATAATTTAATTTTTCAAAAGTACCTGATTGGGAAGCTCCCTTGTTATTATCAGAGATAAATTCCATAACAATTCCTTCATGATCATGACAGAATAATGGGGTTATTTTGTGTCACTGAGAAAGGTTTTACAGTAATAATAAAACTTCAATTTTCCCACAAAATCCTCACCTCCGCCTGTACAAAACAATTCATTCAACATTTCATTATCTCTGAACGAAACAGTCTCTGTTTCTGTTCATTTGAAGTCAATTAGTTTAAATTACTGAATAATTTTACTTATTTATTTTGTTCACAGAAGGAATATGTTGAGTTTAAAGTAATAGTTTCTAATTGTGCTGACAACACAAATCTTTCTACATCACCTAATCTCAGCACAACTCAAGAACAGATGATGCTGACTGCAGCTTGTTGCTTATTTACATGTAGTCCTTGCTAGTTTCACATGCAGAGGAAGACATTTCTAACCAGTTGAGCTTTCATTCTGTGATGAGCTTAACTTCCATAAGGTAATAAGTTCTCTCTTTACCTCATGAAAGGCTTATACTTTACTCTTCTATTTCTGTAACGAAGATTTTGTACCTAGGTACTTTGTACCTAAGACAGTACCTAGTGTGGCGACATTGTACACTTTTCACTCTACTTTTGTACCCCGTACTTGAATACACATGACAATAAAACCTAAATCTAA